AAAAACCACGTGGTCATGACTTGTTTACATAAGTTGAGAACCAAGGTTTTACGATGTCGATCGTTGGCCTATCATTGATCTGATAATTTTTCTATGTTATTTAAATGCCGGACAACAGGTAGAAAATCAGAAACGATCCAGCTTGTCTGGCAAAACAGCCGTTGGCGTTTCTCGGGCGCCCTTTCGTTTTTATCGCGAAAATCTCGGCATTTTTCTGACTTTGAAATACTGTCAAACTAAAATTTGTAATTCTTCCATCAACAGAAGTTCAGCTAGCTGTGTAAACTGTCAAATTAAGTGACCCATTAAGTGCAGGGCTTCACCTGACAGCTTTGGTGTCAAACACATTGTTAATTAACACAAATAACCTTTGCTTTATGTCATAAATAATTTGTGTATTTCAAAAATGTTTCAGTTACTTCCCCTTTTTTATCACCTTTTCACAATATATTCCTTAAATTTATTGTTTTTTTTTCTAAAAAAAAAAAAATAAAACAAATTGAATGCAAATGCATATCAGAATATTACTTTTAATTATTTTTAACCTGAAAACACTTCAAATATAAATATTTTGAAAATTATTTTTTTCATCTTTACTTCCATTAATTGATCTATCAAGTGCATTCAAATAATAATTCAAATTTTCATTGAAAGAGGACAACTTTTATTTTTAGAAGCAATAAGTGGGGGAGAGGCATTTAAAAAAGGGCATCCAATTTTTCAAAGCACCAGTTTTAAGTGGGGTCATTCAAAATATATTGATTTAAAAAGGAAAATTTACAAAATTTAGGTTTTTCACAGAAATCTATAACCAGGATATATTTTACATTTCCAGGATAATTTTTTTTAAATTCCACACAAAATTCTGGTTTATGTTTCCCTGTTTAAAGTAAGATGGGATCCCGGTTTCAGACAGTTATCCCAATGGGATCCCAGTTTCGTATATTTATCTTGCTTCAACTGGGATTGGATCCCAGCTTGAGACAGATATCCCAATGGGATCCCAGTTTCAGACATATATCCTGAATGGGATCCCAGTTTCAGATATTTATCCCGAATGGAATCCCGACTTCTGAGGCCCATCCCGGCTTATCCCGCTAATTTTACCGGGATTTGACTGGGATCCCGATAGATCCCGTTTTCATTTTCTCTTGGGTGTCGTTTGATATTTTTCTATAATATGATTTATTCTTGTATTAGTTCGTGCTAAAACAAACTTGATGATAAAAAAAATCAAGAGAGGTATCGAAATCGGTCTTTATAGGTACCTAATGGTAAATATAAACTGTCAACTAAATTCTTAAAATATTCTTTATTCTTGTTGCATTTTTTTTTTAAATAATGTTTTTGTATTTGTCAATGTAATAATTTTACCTGGTAAATCCTTATATAAGATAAGACATGGAACTTTATTCATTTTACGTCAATGGCTAAAACATCATAAGCGTTGCATGGGTAATTATTTAGATAGTTTATGACAACCCGTTTCGGTTGACTGCTTAAATAATCCGTTTATTGAAATGTAAATAACTTTCACCAAGCAACTGTTTTCTATATATAATATTTAAAAATATAAAGTAAATTAGATACTTAGAATATATTTTTCTTGACAAATTTTATATGGATCAGAACTATTATTTTACATTAGAAACAAAAAACGTTTAAGCAAATTTAGGAACATCTTGGGGATATATTACTTATCATTATATCTTTACGGGCGGAATGAATAAATACATGACTACTTTATGTCAGAAAGCACGACTGCAAAGTTTTAATGACTATCACATTTCCCGGTTACAACAATTAATCTTTTCTTATATAACCAATTAAATGTTAAAAATTCTATCGGGAAAAAATGAATTGTTCGTTTGCATACGTTATTTAATGAAATAGATATATAGTATTACATTAAAAGACCACAAAAGAATATCCTCCAAGCTATGCCGATTTTATTCATAAAGGGGAGTAACCCCTGAAAAACACAGATAGAGTGTCGCTCGTTTTATTTAAAATATTTAAAATCTTAACACGACTGAACACGATCTTACAGCAGCTAAACAGATTTTTTACCTTTGGTCTTATTTTATCTGAACGTGATCTAATCAAGTCTTATTTAAACGCTAGAAGAATCTATCTTGTTTATCTTGACCCGACTGATCTGACTGAACACGATATATCGTAACAGAGTCTGAAAGTCTAAACAGGTCTTAACGTTTTTCCCTAGCGGTAAATCAAGGCGATTAAGACTCGATAAGACCAAAATGACCGTTTCAGACTTAAATCTTGCTACTAGTGTAGGTTTCTGACACAGAATGAATGTGGTCTAAGAATTTAAAAAAATTTAATTTACCTATTCAAACCATATCATTATTATTTGCTTTTATATATAAATCAGAAATAACCAATTTAAAATGGAAAATTTGAAAGAAAAAAAAGGAAAAAAAAATCCCCCCCCCCCAAATTTTTGAACCCCCTTATGATTCATCACCCCCCAAACTCAATCCCAGCCTTCCCTTTGTGGTATGGTACCTTGCAGTACAATTTCAGAGAGATCCATACACTTGAACACAAGTTATTGTCTGGAAACTAGAAAAATGCTTGTTTTTTGGCCCCTTTTTCCTAAAATTTTGAGGCAATTACCCTCAAAATCAATCCCAGCCTTCCCTTTATGGTATGGTACCTTGCAGTACAATTTCAGAGAGATCCATACACTTGAACACAAGTTATTGTCTGGGAACTAGAAAAATGCTTGTTTTTTTCCCCTTTTTGGCCCCTAATTCCTAAAATTTTGAGGCAATTATCCCCAAAATCAATCCCAGCCTCCCATTTGTGGTATGGTACCTTGCAGTACAATTTCAGAGAGATCCATACACTTGAACACAAGTTATTGTCTGGAAACTAGAAAAATGCTTATTTTTGCCCCTTTTTTGGCCCCTTATTCCTAAACGTTTTGAGCAATTACCCCAAAACTCTATTCCAGCTTTCCTTTTGTGGTATGGTACCTTGTAGTATAATTTCATAAAGATCCATACACTTACACACAAGTTATTGTCATGAAACTAGAAAAATGCTTGTTTTTTGCCCCTTTTTTGGCCCTTATTCTTAAAATTTGGAGGCAATTACCCTCAAAATCAATCCCATCATTCCCTTTGTGATATGAAACCTTGTGGTACAATGTCAGAGAGATCCATACACTAACACACAAGTTATGTCTGGAAGTTACAAAAATGCTTATTTTTGGCCCCTTTTTGGCCCCTAATTCCTTAACTGTTGGTACCATAACCCCCAAAATCTATCCCAACCTTCCTTTTGTGTTATTGAACCTTATGGTAAAATTTCATAGAGATCCATTCACTTACACCAAAGTTAGAGTGCGAAAACCAATGTGTCTTCGGACGACGGCAACGACGACGCCAACGTCATACCAATATATCGTCGTATAAAATTTACTTGATATTTAGAAGAAATAAAAATTTTGCAATTTTTCAATTTATAAAGGGGAATAACTCTAGAACGGTTAAAGCGACACCACCAAAATTCAAACTTGATCTGTGTTTTGTCGTAATAAGCATTGTGTATAAGTTTCATAACATTTGGTTGAGGCAAACTTAAGTAAGAAAACGGAAACTAAAAATTTTGCAATTTTTCCATTTATAAAGGGGAATAACTCTAGAACGGTTAAAGTGACGTCACCAAAATTCAAACTTGATCTGTTTTTTGCAGTAATAAGCATTGTGTATAAGTTTCATAACATTTGGTTGAGGCAAACTTAAGTTAGAGAACAGAAACTAAAAATTTTGCAAATTTTCCATTTATAAAGAGGAATAACTCTAGAACGGTTAAAGTGACGCCACCAAATTTCAAACTTGATCTGTGTTTTGTGGTAATAAGCATTGTGTATAAGTTTCATAACATTTGGTTGAGGCAAACTCAAGTTAGAGAACAGAAACCAAATTTGGGACGTACGGACGGATGTATGTATGTACAGACAGACAAGGGTAAAACTTAATGCCCCCACCGCTACGGCGGGGGCATAATAATTAGAAAAAACAAATTATGCAATCATTGTAGTAGCTTTGAGCAAGCTTGGATAATTGCAAACATATCTGCAATTATTGGTCCTTTTTTTCAGAAAGTAAATGTAACCTCTTGATGTCTGATGTAACTAACCTATAATTAATGAAAAGGAACGATAGTTCATAATCAACCCAAATGCCTGGCTAATAGCTGTCCCAGAATTATAAATTTGAATACACTTTTATATTGGTTTCCTCATCAGCAGCAATTGTTAGAGTTTAGATAAATTACTTCACGAGAGTTTGTAGTGAAAGGGACAGGTGGTCTGACTGATACAAATTCTGATTCTGTAGTCAATTTTGTCAAAGACGGAATCTGGAAAATGGTCGTGTGACTAAATATTTTAATGACTTATGAATAACAATCACAATTTTTTGTTTGTAAAGTTATTGATTGCAAATTCAAATTTTTGTCTTTTGAATTATTTATTTTGTACACTACAAACTGCTCAGAGTTTGAAAAATCCATATTTTGTGCTAGTTTGGTCAAGCACAGATTTTGCTTGTCAAGACTCGACATAATCTCGACAGAACTTAACTGTACTCGACTTTGGTCTTGACTTTACTTGATAAGTCTGATTGAGTACTTGATAATCTTGGTATAGTCTGAATATGGTCTCGCCAAATGCGCGACCAGTTTTGACAAGTCTCAACTCAGTCTTGAACTTTATATTTAGTCTCGACTGGTCAGAAACAGCCCATCTATCTCAATTATATATTGATCTTACAAAGTTCCAGGTTATCTGGTAGTTGGCTTCATTGCTGTCAAAGTTGAGGATTGTATTAATTAGTAAAAGAAAAGCTAGAATAAGCATGTTTGGATTAAATTCAGATAATCACTTTTAAAAATATCTATAACTTTTTCAAATAAACATAGATTTTCATAAAACTCTACAGCTATTTCAATTATTAGCTCACCTGGCCCTAAGGGCCAAGTGAGCTTTTCTCATCACTTGGCGTCCGTCGTCCGTCGTCCGGCGTCGTCCGGCGTCGTCCGTCGTCGGCGTTAACTTTTTACATTTTGAACTTCTTCTAGAGAACCACTGAATGGAATGAAACCAAACATGGCATGAATGTTCCTTATGAGGTGCTGACCAAGTGTTGTTACTTTGTAGCCGATCCATCATCCAAAGTGGCCGCCAGCGGGGGACTTAGTTTAACATAGGACCCTATGGGAAATGCATACAAATGACTTCTTTTAGAGAACCACTGAATGGAAAAAAACAAAACATGGCATGAATGTTCCTTATGAGATGCTGACCATGTGTTGTTACTTTGTAGCCGATCCATCATCCAAGATGGCCGCCATCGGGGAACTTAGTTTAACATAGGACCCTATGGGAAATACATACAAATGTCTTCTTTTAGAGAACCACTGAATGGAATGAAACCAAACATGGCATGAATGTTCCTTATGAGGTGCTGACCAAGTGTTGTTACTTTGTAGCCGATCCATCATCCAAGATGGCCGCCAGCAGGGGACTTAGTTTAACATAGGACCCTATGGGAAATACATACAAATGTCTTCTTTTAGAGAACCACTGGATGGAATGAAACCAAACATGGCATGAATGTTCCTTATGAGATGCTGACCAAGTGTTGTTACTTTGCAGTCGGTCCATCATCCAAGATGGCCGCCAGTAGGGGACTTAGTTTAACATAGGACCCTATGGGAAATACATACAAATGTCTTCTTTTAGAGAACCACTGAATGGAATGAAACCAAACATGGCATGAATGTCCCTTATGAGGTTCTGACCAAGTGTTGTTACTTTGTATCCGATCCATCATCCAAGATGGCCGCCAGCGGGGGACTTAGTTTAACATAGGACCCTATGGGAAATACATACAAATGTCTTCTTTTAGAGAACCACTGAATGGAATGAAACCAAACATGGCATGAATGTTCCTTATGAGGTGCTGACCAAGTGTTGTTACTTTGCAGTCGGTCCATCATCCAAGATGGCCGACAGCAGGGGACTTAGTTGAACAAAGGACCTATGGGAAATACATACAAATGTCATCTTTTAGAGAACCACTGAATGGAATGAAACCAAACATGGCATGAATCTTCCTTATGAGATGTTGACCAAGTGTTGTTACTTTGTAGCCGATCCATCATCCAAGATGGCCGACAGCGGGGGACTTAGTTTAACATAGGACCCCTATGGGAAATACATACAATTGTCTTCTTTTAGAGAACCACTGAATGGAATTGAACCAAACATGGCATGAATGTTCCTTATGAGTTGCTGACCAAGTGTTGTTACTTTGCAGTCGATCCATCATCCAAGATGGCCGCTAGGGGGGGGGGGGGGGGGGGGCTTAATTTAACATAGGACCCTATGGGAAATACATACACATGTCTTCTTTTAGAGTACCACTGAATGGAATGAAACCAAACATGGCATGAATGTTCCTTATGAAGTGCTGACCAAGTGTTGCTACTTTGTTGCCGATTTACTGTTCAAGATGGCCACCAGGATATTTTATTAAATAACTGGACCAATATTAATCAAAATTTGGCCTCAATCATTATTTGGGTATCTGTTATGATTTTTATCTATCTTTACATGATTTCTAAAACCAAAGTAGAGTCAGGTGATTGACACATGCTCTTGAGAGCCTCTAGTATATTGATCTTACAAAACACAAGGTTATTTGGTATTTTGGTTTATTTCTGTCAAATTTAAGGATTTAACTAATAGGTAAAAAAAGCTGGAATTTTCAGTTTAGACCAGGCGGAAACACAGTTGAAATTAAACAAAAGAAATGGAACTCGTTAGAGAAGGTAAAAATTACCAAGTTGGTAAATTTGAATTATTTACATCTGTTTCTATGGGCTTTAAAATTTATTGAATGTGCATAGTTTAGGATTTTATGCATCTTATGTATGTGTTTTTACTTAAATTGTGGTATGGAGCTTCGAGATATTTGTAAACTTTTGAATTATAGGCAAATTTTCACAAAACAGTCGATTGTGGTAGGTGCAAATACATGTGGATCTTTTTTGTGCATAAGCATAAATTCAGCCGAAAAAAATTCCAGAGAAAGATAATAGATTGGTCTTTTTAAAGCATTAATTTGCATCTCTGCCCCCTGGCAACAGCTTTTTTGGGAAAAAACCCCCAAAATGGGCAATAATTTCATAGAGAATAGAAAGTCGAGCAGACCTTTTTATGTTCCGGCGTGTTTGAGTTGGATATTCTGTCTTGAAAACGTATTAAAGAAAAATATTTGATACATCATCTCGCTTCAGATTCTATTATTTTTATATATTTAGGCTCTAGGTTGATATAATAACATCAGAAATTTACAGTTCTAAAAAATAAGATATATGGGTCAAGTGAAATACCTTTCTAGTGAGTCATAACAACAGAGTAAGTGTGTTCAAATAACAATTTTAAACATTAAAAGTACTTGATGACAGACTTTTCTAGTGGATCTTAGAAATGCATAACTTCAAATAACTTCATTTTTTGTGTGTGTTATCAGGAACATATATATTGACGGGACTTGACACTACCTAAATGTAGCCGATTTTATCGTTGGGTCATAGGTAATAAAGATACGATACGGAAACGGACATGTGTTAAAAACGTACTCGCTATTATCCTAATAATTTCTGATAATATCAATAAAATGTCATTCAAACTAGTTTTACAGTGATGCCAGTGTATCAAACTTGTATTCTGTCACTTCAAATTTGTTATAATCGCATTCATTTTATCACAGAATGGTACAGAATGCAAACAGGGTAATAAAAAAATGGCGCCGATTGCCTTCCCAAATTCAAAAACATTATAAAACACTTCACATCAAATAAATCATACTTATCTTGGTCATTTCATATGACAAAATGTATTAGATATACTTTTCCCAGGTGTTATCTAAGGTAATTAGTCTTCAACCTCTGAAAATTTTTAGAAATATTTAATTTGAATTTTTTAAAATATTCTTGAACTTTCGAAAACTCCCCCTGACAACTGATCAGGCAATAGTTTTAAGTTGACCATATGCATAAAAGTACATTAAATGGCCTGTCCCAAGTCAGGAGCCTCTGGCCTTTGTTAGTCTTGTATGTTTTTTAATTTTAGTTCATTTATATGTTTTGGAGTTTAGTGTGACGTCCATTTTCACTGAACTAGCACACAATTTTATTTAGGGGCCAGCTGAGGACCACCTCCGGGTGCGGGATTTTCTCGCTGCATTGGAGACCAATTGGTGGCCTTCGGCTATTGTCTGCTCTTTGGTCGGGTTGTTGTCTCTTTGACATATTCCCCATTTCCATTCTCAATTTTATAAGGATTGTAATGATACTTTGTGGATAAATTCATCAGTTTTTCAAGGGTAAATTGACAGTGCGTCATCACTACAATGGCTTCCATTTTTAAGATTATATAAATTCAGTGGCATAATGGGGAGATAATTTTAACGAAGTAAAATCCTGACTGAGACTAAATTCAGATAGTAACCTTTTAAAATTTCAGTAACTTTATTTGATAGTTTGGTTTATTGCTGTCAAAATAAAGGATTTAATTAACAATGATTTTAAATAGGTAAAAAAAATCAAAAATTTTCAGTTCAGACTTAATTCAGATAGTCATCTTTAAAAATTTCTATAATTCAAATCAACTTTTATTTTCATGTAACTCTACAGATATCTCAATTATGTATTTATCTTACAGAATTCTAGGTTGATTGGTAGTTTGGTTTATTTCTGTCAAATTTAGGGATTTAATTAATGGATAAAAAAAGCTAAAATTTTCAGTTTGGAGTTAATCATGTTAATTCAGATGGATATCTATTAATTTAATCCTTAAATTTGAAAGTCATTTTAACCTGATGTATAACGATGTGACTGAATTACTATAGTTATTCCATAGAATTATGTAATGTATCAATTAGTATTTAATCCAGTTTGTATACCATGTTTGTCTTGAATATAGACATAAAATACTATTGGTGTAAAATTAGGTGCATGCTTAACTGTAATAGTTTCAACCTTTAATTTTTAGATACAAATGAAAACAAGATTGTAGAGTATAAAGTAAGAGGTAAGGGATTGAAATAGCTCTCAGTGAGTTTCTTTCTAACATTATGCATTAGAACAACTATAGTTATTCTATAGAAATATTGTAAGATTAAGATGTCTGTTGGATAATTTTCACTATTCAGCCTTAAGTTTCCTGATAATATCTGTAATGTCTCGGAGAAGATCGATAGTCAGTGCCAATTAGTTATTTTAAAAAGAGTTATGACCCTTGGAAATGTTAAATTTATGGGAATTGCATTATAAGTGCTTGTACATGTACAATTTGGCCAGATTTTTATGAAACTTATTTCAAAGGTTTATAAAGGACATGTCCTAAAAAAATCAGTGCTGATTGAATATTTTTAAAAGAGTTATGCCCATTGGAAATATCAATTATATCAGAAATTGAATTGCACTGGCTCGCAAGCATTCATTTCTTTACATTTCTCTTAAGATATTTAAAAAAAAAAAATTACAGAACCAAAAAAGAGGTTTTTTTTTTAATTATTGCCCTTAAACAAATAAAATATGTGCAACACGGGGGATATTTGAACTCTGTTCTTTTATTAAGATTAAGGACAAGACTTGATAATCGAAAATATTAGGTATATTAATGCAATATTAGGTATATTAATGCATTCACTTATCAGTGCAACAATAGCGTGTGTTTATGTCCATTCACTTCAATTTATCAATGAAATGCATACGATTTCATTCATACAACCGAACAACTATCACAATGTTTTGATCTTGTAAAAGTAGTTTTACTAACTCATTTGAGTTAATATTTTTATCTGAATAAGCGTTTTGTTAAGACGAAATGCTGATAAAAAGAATAATGGCTTTTAATTTTTTTTATACTAACTTAATCAGTTCAAATATGTCCTTGAATTTCAATGTTATCATTAAACATTTTCATAATTTGGTTCTTAAATTGTTCTATTTCAAAGCCTTAATGCTCGGTAGAACTAATTTATTCATAAGAGTATCATAAGTCAATAGATAGATATAAAAAGATGTGGTATGAGTACCAATGAGACAACTCTCAATCCAAGTCACAATTTGTAAAAGTAAACCCTTATAGGTCAAATTACGGCCTTCAACACGGAGCCTTGGCTCACACCGAACAGCAAGCTATACAAGGCCCAAAAAACTACCAGTGTAAAACCATTCAAACAGGCAAACCAATGGTCTAAAAAACGAGAAAAGAGAAACACTTATGAACCACATCAACAAACGACAAAACACATTTTGAATATATAGTCAAAATACGGTTATTTTGTGCATTTTGAAGCTAAAAGCTTAAGAAAAACCTTTGCTGCAACCGAGAATCCAAAATGTTCTTTAAGCAAAAGGTACCAATCAATATATTTAATCCCTGGACATTTTCTGTTAAAGTCACTGTTAAAAATTATGGAGAAATGAGACCGAAACTGATGTTACAACACAAATTCTGCATAATTGAGGAGTTGTTATTACTATAATATGTTATCAATAATATGATGTACCAAACGGAAATTATTTTGTAGAATTTTGACCTAAATTTAGAAAAAAAAAAACCAATTAAAATCTTAGGGCCAAATGTACCCTTTGTTAACCCACTCCTTTAAATTTTTATTACAGATGGGAAAAAGCTTGAACCTGCTGAAGTAAATCCATTAATCAGTAAGTGAATTATCTCTCAGTGAGTTACTCTCACTTCCTTTATATATCAATAACACATGGTAAGGAAATTTGCTCTCGATGAGTTCCTTACTAACATTATGCAACAGTCATAAATCGATTAAGTGAAAACAAATCTGGGTCACAAACCAAAAAGGAGGGAAACACATCTACTATAAGAGGAAAACAACAGAACAACAGAAACACTGAACTGCAACAAAAACTAACGCCACCATACATAGAAATGGACTATTTGATAACAACTGTCATATTCCTGACTTGGTACAGGACATTTTAAGAAAAAAATGGTGGGTTGAACCTGGTTTTATGGCTAGCTAAACCTCCAGCTTATATGGCAATGTTAAAAATACCGCTAAAATGACAACCTTACGCGACAGGAATACAGAACAAATAAACGCAAGAATACTCAGGACAGAGAAATACATAAACAAAAATATAACAGTACATTACTACATGTAAACCACAGAATAACAATGGTTACTTCCCATGATTTTACGACAGTACACCAGGTTATAAACGGTGCGTCACACAAATGTATGAACGACGTTTATTTTATCACAGGTAAATTTCTAAAAATAGAATATAAAATTGATATTGAGTTTGTAAAGGTGTTATTTTATGTATTTTCTAACCATGACAAGAATATTAGAATAAAAAACTATAGTTATTCTATAGAATTATATGATGATTAACATGTCTGTTGGACAATTTTCGCAATACAGCCTTAAGTTTCCTTACTTCAATCACTTACTACAAGTAATACATTCACTGAATTTCGTAAAAATTAGCGTAAGGTTGTATGCTTATAGTTAAGCTTTTTCATTTACTATAAGTTATAAGTAATCTGTATTCAGTTGATTCAATAGTCCATTTGCAATTCTTTAATTGACCCTGTAATTCAAGAATTATTTGTAAGAGTTTTTTTTTCTTAGGAGGGACATACATTTCCAAAAAAACCTAAGGCCATATGTTAAATGAATTTCTGATTCCCAGACAATAAAAATAATTGTTTTTAAAAAAGTATTGACTGGTATTTTTAGCTCACCTGGCCCAAAAGAGCCAAGTGAGCTTTTCTCATCACTTGGTGTCTGTCGTCATCTTCGTCGTCTGTTAACTTTTACAAAAATCTTTTCCTCTGAAACTACAAGGCCAAATAAAACCAAACTTGGCCTAAATCATCCTTAGGGTATCTAGTTTAAAAAATGTATCCGATGACTCCGCCCATCAACCATCATGGCCACCATGGCTAAAAATAGAACATAGGGGTAAAATGCAGTTTTTGGCTTATATCCCTGAAACTAAAGCATTAAGAGCAAATCTGACATGGAGTAAAAAATGTTCATCAGGTCAAGTTCTATCTGCCCTGAAATTTTCAGATGCATCAGACAACCCGTTGTTGGGTTGCTGCCCCTGAATTGGTAATTTTAAGGAAATTTTGCAGTTTTTAGCTCACCTGGCCCGAAGGGCCAAGTGAGCTTTTCTCATCACTTGGCGTCCGTCGTCCGTAGTTGTCCGTCATCGTTAGCTTTTTACAAAAATCTTCTCCTCTGAAACCACTGGGCCAAATTTAACCAAACTTGGCCACAATCATCATTAGGGTTATCTAGTTTAAAAAATGTGTCCAATGACCCCGCCAACCAACCAAGATGGCGACCATGGCTAAAAATAGAACATAGGGGTAAAATGTAGATTTTGGCTTATATCTCTGAAACCAAAGCATTTAGAGTAAATCTGACTGGGTAAAACTGATTATCAGGTCAAGATCTATCTGCCCTGTAATTTTCAGACAAATCTGACAACCTGTTGTTGGGTTGCTGCCCCTGAATTGGTAATTTTAAGGAAATTTTGCAGTTTTTGGTTATTATCTTGAATATTATTATAGATAGAGATAAACTGTAAAGAGCAATAATGTTCAGCAAAGTAAGATCTACAAATAAGTTGTCATGACCAAAATTGTCATTCGACCCCTGTAGGAGTTATTGCATCCTTTATAGTCAATTTTTAACAATTTTTCGTAAATTTTTGTAATCTTTTACAAAAATCTTCTTCTCTGAAACTACTGAGACAAATTTAACCATACTTGGCCATAATCATTATTAGGGTATCTAGTTTAAAAAATTTGTCTGATGACCCCGCCTTTCAACCATCATGGCCGACTTGGTTAAAAATAGAACATAGGGGTAAAATGCAGTTTTTGGTTTATATCTCTGAAACTAAAGCCTTTAGAGCAAATCTGACAGGTGGCAAAAATGTTCATCAGATTTAGATTTATCTGCCCTGAATTTTTTAGACGAATCCGACAACCCGTTGTTGGGTTGCTGCCCCTGAGTTAGTAATTTTACAAAAATTTTGCAGTTTTTTGTTATTATCTTAGATAGCATTATAATATCTAATATCTAATACTATTAAATATGATTTTAACCTTATTTTACATGATTTCCAAAGCATCAGTAAATACAGGTGAGCGACACAGGCTCTTGAGAGCCTCTAGTTGGTTATTATCTTGAATATTATAATAGATAGAGATAAACTGTAAACAGCACAATTGTTCAGCAAAGTAAGATCTACAAATAAGTCAAACATGAACAAAATTGTCTATTGACCCCATGGTTTTAAAATCTGTTATTTTTTAAATCAACATGCTGTAGTAGTATTTCTTTAAATTTTGTTGAACCTTTCCTTAGCTAGCTAACTTCTTAAAAGCTTTATATTTTAGAAGGTGGAAGACCTGGATGCTTCATACTTTGTATATAGATGCCATATGTTACGAAGTTTCCGTCAGTCATATGTCCATTGTCCTTGACCTCATTTTCATCATGGTTCAGTGACTATTTGAAAAAAAAGTTAAGATTTTTTGTAAGGTTAATTTCTTTCTTATTATGAGTAATAGGATAACTATTTTAAGTATTTGCGTACCTTGTAAGGTCCCCATGCCCGTCAGACAGTTTTCAATTGACCTCAACCTCATTTCATGGATCAGTGAACAAGGTTAAGTTTTCGTGGTCAAGTCCATATATCAGATACTATAAGTAATAGGTCTACTATATTTGGTGTATGGAATGATTGTAAAGTGTACATGTCCAACTGGCAGGTGTCATCTGACCTTGACCTCATTTTCTTGGTTCAGTGGTCAAAGTTACGTTTTTGAGTTTTGGTCTTTTTTATGCCCCCGCTGTAGAGGAGAGGGCATTAAGTTTACCCTTGTCCGTCGGTACGTACGTACGTCCCAAAATTTGTTTCCGTTCTCTAACTTTAGTTTGCCTCAACCAAATGTTGTGAAACTTATACACAATGCTTATTACCACAAAACACAGATCAAGTTTGAATTTTGGTGGCGTCACTTTTACCTTTCTAGAGTTATGCCCCTATAAAAATGGAAAAAAAACATTAGAAAAACAATAAGGTCTTTCCTAACGTAGTTGAAAGACCTTATTTAGAAAAACAATAAGGGGTTTCCATGCTTGAAACATTAGATGTAATTTAGGAAGCTCCTGGTTTAAATCATCAATTAAAACTTGGGTGATTGATTGATTGATAATAAAACTATTGGTCTAGTTTAAAACATTAAATAAATCTTGGAGGTCTAGTTCAAAAACATCAAATACAATATGGCCACCATGGCTAAAAATAGAACATAGGGATAAAATGCAGTTTTTGTCTCGCCTGCGACGAATGTCGCAGAAAGTGAGACATAGGTATTACTATCTGGCGGCAGCGGCGTAAACTTTTTGTATAAAGCTTTATATTTCAGAAGGTAGAAGACCTGGATGCTTCATACTTTGTATGCAGATACCTTATGTTACGAACTTTCCATCTGTCATATGTCCAATGTCCTTGACATTATTTTCATGGTTCAGCGACTGCTTGAAAAAAAAGTTTAGTTTTTTTGTTATGTAAATTTCTCACTTATTATGAGTAATAGGATAACTATATTTGTTATATGGGTTCCTTGCAACGTCTACATGTCCATCAGACAGGGTTCACCTGACCTCAGCCTCATTTCATGGATCAGTGATCAAGGTTAAAGTTACGTGATTAGATACTACAAGCAGTAGGTCAGCTATATGTGGTGTATGGAATGATTATAAGGGATACATGTCAGTCTGGCAGGTTTCATCTGACCTTGACCTCATTTTCACGGTTCATTGGTCAATGTTAAGTTTTTGTGTTTTGGTCTGTTTTTCTAATACTATAAGCCAATGGTGAACTATATTTGGTGTATGGAATGATTGTAAGGTGTACATGTCTGTCTGGCAGGTGTCATTTGTCCTTGACCTCATTTTCATGATTCAGTGGTTATAGTTATGTTTTTGTGTTTTGGTCTGTTTTTCTTATACTGTATGCAATAGGTCTACTATATTTGGTGTATGGAATGATTGTAAGGTGTACATGTCTAGCTGGCAGGTGTCATTTGACCTTGACCTCATTTTTATGGTTCATTGGTCAATGTTTAGTTTTCTTGGTTAATGTTAAGTTTATATGACAGTTGTAATAAAGCTTTATATTTAGGACTATCAACATAATATCAATGATTAGTAAAGAAGGCGAGACATTTCAGCATGTGCACTCTTGTTGGCTTTATCTCTGAAACTAAAGCATTTAGAGCAAATCTGACATGGAGTAGAGATGTTCATCAGGTCAAGATCTATCTGCCCTGAAATTTTCAGACTGTATTTAATCATTCGAGGGATGATACAATAATCACAAAATAAAAGTTAATACAACACAGTTGCCATATGCAGAAGACAAATTACTAATCTTCAAAAACATTCCACAGAAAAAAAATATTTCTAAGTATGTATGTGTTGCTTTTACAGATATATATATACACTTTGTAACAACCTGTAAATAAGTATGAATAATATATACAAGAATTTTTTTGTTACAGTACTGCCAAATTACTGTTATTTCACCCAGTTTGTATTCCATTTTTACTTGAAAATAGAGAAGAGAGCCTTTGTGTAAAATTATTTTGTGCTTAA